CTGGGGAATTCTGGGAGTTGAAGTCCACTCATCTTAAAGTGGCCAAGTTTGGACAACACTGACATATATGAAGAACTTCACATTGTCCCTGTTCGGTATGTTAGATTGAAAAATAGTGACTTGCTTGTAATTACGTATTGAACTTAATGGCTGAAACCTTGGTGTCTGCAGTTGTAGACCAGCATTTAGCTACAGAATGCACTTTTTTCTTTTCAAATTGAGGATTATCCCTGGACTTTATGTGGCATCTAGGGGTGCAGAAAGTAGACAAGACAAAAGAAGTGAGTGGAAGCATGACAAAACTGAATTTGATTGAATTAAAATTAAATTAAGTGCAAGTAGCATTATATTCAATGTGGTTAATCAAGTAACCTTTCTATTACATTAAACATTATAGCTGATTTGCAACATTGGAGGGCTCTTGTGGGCTAGGGAGGCACAGTTAGGAATTTCTGCTCCAATTTCTCTGTGTGTACAATCAGAGTTTCTTTGGCATCTTAAAGACTGATACTTGATAGCGTTGATTCTAATCTCCAAAACTTTGTGCTACATTAATATATTAGTCTTTTAAGCTGTCTCTTGTTTGTATTGCTACAGATTACTTGCACTGGGCTGGCCAAGTTCTTACGGAGTTGGAAAACCAACTGTTCTCTGTTGATATACTTCATATTTGTTGTATGAAGAAGTATATTACATAAAAGGGCATGTGCAGTATACAGTGGGGCAAAAAAGTATTTAGTCAGCCACCAGTTGTGCAAGTTCTCCCACTTAAAACGATGAGAGAGGCCTGTAATTTTCAGCATAGGTATACCTCAACTATGAGAGACAAAATGGGGAAAAAAATCCAGAAAATCACATTGTCTGATTTTTAAAGAATTTATTTGCACATCATGGTGGAAAATAAGTCTTTTGATATTGACCAAATACTTATTTTCCACCATGATGTGCAAATAAATTCTTTAAAAATCAGACAATGTGATTTTCTGGATTTTTTTCCCCATTTTGTCTCTCATAGTTGAGGGATACCTATGATGAAAATTACAGGCCTCTCTCGTCTTTTTAAGTGGGAGAACTTGCACACATTGGGGCTGACTAAATACTTTTTTGCCCCACTGTATACTAAAATGGAAGACATACAAGACCACTGATAAAAAATGGAAGACATACAAGACCACTGATAAAAAATGGAAGACATACAAGACCACTGATAAAAAATGGAAGACATACAAGACCACTGATAAAAAATGGAAGACATACAAGACCACTGATAAAAAATGGAAGACATACAAGACCACTGATAAAAAATGGAAGACATACAAGACCACTGATAAAAAATGGAAGACATACAAGACCACTGATAAAAAATGGAAGACATACAAGACCACTGATAAAAAATGGAAGACATACAAGACCACTGATAAAAAATGGAAGACATACAAGACCACTGATAAAAAATGGAAGACATACAAGACCACTGATAAAAAATGGAAGACATACAAGACCACTGATAAAGGCCTCTCTCATCTTTTTAAGTGGGAGAACTTGCACAATTGGTGGCTGACTAAATACTTTTTTGCCCCACTGTAATTATTCTTGATTGGACTTTTCTAGATTGGAACCTTATTTCCAGTTCTTTGTTGGACAGGTCTAAGCATCCTGTGACTATCCAAATACATAGTAGAACAGGATAGGGCAACCTTTCGTTGTGCTCTCTGGAGGCTCCTCTATTATTGTAGAAAATTGGTGGCATAGTTTCTGCCTTATCTTTTTGAGGCAGAAGACATGCAAAAATTGTAGTGTAAGTCTTACAATAGGCTTAACATTGTTTAATCCCCTCAATCCTTCCCCAAAGAATAATCAGTCAAGTCCTGTTTAACTTGTTTCTGAATACTGTTGCATATAACTGTCCTCTATTTCCATACTTTTAGGGACTCCTACTTTATCATAAAAGATAAAGTGTGGATGTCACACACTTTGTCATAAAAGAAAAAAATGTGGATGTCAGAAATAAGCATTTAAGATAGAATGGTATAATTGGCTTATAATAAATTAGTAAAATAAAGAAAACCAGTATTTCCTGCTGCTTCATTCTTTGCTTCTTTGTGGTATATAAACCACAATGGGTGGTTGGGTGTCTTAACAAATTTTTTTTCTAGGAAAAATACAGTTCTTGAAATGGAGAAATTACTAAAATCATTAGAACCTTCCATACAAGATTAGAAAGTTACACCAATATTTGAAGATCAATTAGTGCTACTTAGTTTAATGAGAGTGTGTTTAAGATAACAGCCAGGTCTGAAATGTGAGCTCCTAAGAATAGGTTGTCCCTGTGGGAGGATGGGTCAGGATAGGAGCTGATACAACACACACACACACACACAGAGCCTAAATACTGCATTATTAGATCACACTATTTTATTAGCATAGGAATCATAGTGTCCAGAATAAGATCCCTCATTTGTTTAATCTAATATTATATATAAGTGGAAATATTATTTACAAAAACAGTATGTGTTTCTATATAGGTACAGAATAGTGTAAGAAATATAGGAAATCAAATCTTAACCTACTTAATTTTCCTCTCTCTCAAGTCTCTCACTTTCCACTTGTAATTTATAACAGCTTCTTCTCCCCCTCATTTTGATTACTGATACAGAAATGTCTGTGAGTTTTCTCCTTACTGTTTTGCTACCAACAAAGCCTTTAACTCACAAAGTTTCACTATCCAGCACCTGAATCTCCATACACACAACACAGTCTGCTCTCCCAAGCTGCTCCACTTTTCCTCCTGGTCTTCTTCCTTGTCCCAGGATTGGAATCTCTGGACTTGGCAGACTGTGTTGTTTCTCTGTTCCACTCCATGTTAACCAGGTGACATCCTGTCTAGCAGCATGTCCTGCAGCAGCTGAAATATGAAACTACCCTTTCTCTGCTTGTCCTTACTTTTTTAATATTCTGTACCTAAGGCATGTATGCACCACTTTACTGGTGTATTCTAGCATTTTCCCCTTTTCTGCCTACGTGCTCTTGGTCTTGTGCTGAGTCATGTGCCTTCACTAAAAAAATCTATGATCTTGGCACAGACCCAGCCACTTTCTTCTAGCCAAGTACTTCACCCTGGCATAGTTCCATATTTCTTCTATACTTCGTATAATAAAATAATCTACATTACTTGTATAAGGAAATAATCAGTAAGACTAGGTGCATTATTTTATCTCCAGATGTATTTGTTCCCTCTCTAAGTTGGTCCATAACAATTTGTGGTCTAGCTACGTCAGGCTACTTCTTCTATCATCTTATCTGCAGTTCAGTATATTTAGCAGGGTTAGGAGGTATCCAGGAAAGGCTATTCTATCTGATCTTAATTTCTTTTTACAGGTTCTTTCTGGTTGTGGTGTTTATGATGGCACTGAAATCCACGAAGCCTCTGCGTAAGTGTATTTCTAACATTGTAGGACTACCTCCATTACCCTCAGTAGAACTGATTGATAGGTAGTCTAGTTATCCAGACAGCATTTCAGCATCAGGTGACTTCCCATTAGAATATTTTGGAACGGCATCCTCCCTCATACGTTCTATCAGTATTTTGTTTTAAGTTAAAGTTGCATATAATGGGTTATTTATTTAATCTCATTCTGTCCTTACGATATTTTAATAATAATAATAATAATAATAATAATAATTTATTAAATTTATATGTAGGATATTGGTTCATTTGAGCCGAGGAGGAGCCGATATTGAGATGTATGCCCCAAATATTTCTCAGATGCATGTTGTTGATCACAGCAAAGGGCAACCAGCTGAGGGGGAGTCAAGGTAAGAGTGACTAAAAATATATTTTATGATTATGTGGCATCAAGCCATTGTTGACTTTCAGTGACCACATAAATTTTCTCCATGATGATCTGTCCCTAACCTAGTCCTTCAGCTCTTCTAATGGTGCCCCCATCACCACTGTGAGTCTATCCACCTTGCTGCTGGTTGTACTCTTTTTCCTTCCACCTTTCCCAGCATCAGAGCTTTCTCCAGAGAGCTAGGTCTTCTCATATTGTGTCTGAAGCAGGATAATTTAAACCTGATCATTTGTGCCTCAAGTGAGAACTCTGGGTTGATTTGTTCGATGATCCATTTGTTTGTTTTCTAGGCTGTCTGCTGTATTTTTAGGAATCTTTTCCAACACCAGACTTCAAAAGCTTAAAAGTTTAAAATATTGTATGAGGTAACTGTATACTAGAAGCATTCTCTGTTGAGGCAGAGTTTTTCCCCCTATTCTGATCACAGTTCTGGAATCAAGTCATTAGAATGTTACTGTAGCGTATGAAATACTTCACAAATAAATTTGGTAATTCTGCAACTACTAACAAGTTGTTTAAGAAGAATGGGTTCTTAATGTGGTGATTTTGTTAAAAAGCCATTCAATTCCTCCTTCAATATAATTTATGTTTTTCATTACATGGAGGAATTAGGCACTCTGTTCTTTTTAAAAGTCTGCTGATAACTGCTCTGAAATTGGGTGCCACAAAAGCATTTATACTGATATTCTCCTAAGAAACGTCTTAGCAGAATCAGCAAGGATCGCTCGTGGGAAAATTGCTGACTTGGCTAAACTTACTGCAAAGGACCATGATGCAGTAATATTTCCTGGAGGCTTTGGAGCTGCTAAAAATCTGTGAGTATTGAATTCTGTAAGTTGCCACAAGATGTTACTGCTGCTTTGTTGATTCAGTTGCTCTCTCTTTTCTCCCCTCTCTGTGTTTCTTTTCCAACATCCACCTGCCAACATATACATCAATATGACTTTGACAGTTGTATAATTTCTGATCTGGATCGTTTCAGGGAAACTCTTCCTTCCCAATTGGTTACAGATCTTGTCCTTGGCAGAGCAATTACGCAGGGAAAAAGTTTTTGTTAGTTCCTGTGGAAGCTTGTTTAAAGTCTCAGAGGTAGCAGAACCAAGGAAAGAACCTCAAAGTTCCCCTTTTTAAGATAAAAGGAAGGAATACTTAGTTAATGCTCCCTTTCCTTAGTTCTTGGAAAGGGGAGAATTCTGGTAACTGTATGATAGAAAGGAGAAATATAAATTTACTGTATCGATAAACCCTTGCCTCCCGGCCCGTTTCTTTTTGGAATGACAAGTGGAAAGACTGACTTTGCTATTCCTGACATTTTTGCTGGAAAAAACATTTCCACATTGAAAGGAACTTGGGGTGAAGAAGGTAGCTGTCTTTTATTGATCAACTTTTTCTGTTAAAGTATTTGCATTTATGAATGACAAAAAATCTGTGGTTATTTCAAGCATTCATATCCTGCAGGTTCCTGAGTGTGGGTGTGTATCTCAGAACTGTAATGCATTTTGTGGGTTTCTCTTGTTCTGGCAGATCTACCTTTGCTGTGGATGGGAAAGACTGTAAAGTTAATAAAGAAGTTGAGCGTGTGCTTAAAGACTTCTACGAAGCAAGAAAACCCATTGGGTATGTCAACTATTTAAATATTCTTTCCCAAAGAGGCTTCTACAGCCCTCACTTCAGTCAGAGACTTACTTCTGGTGATTCTCCCAGATAAAATGAGCTTACAAGCCTAAAACTTCAAAACCAGATTGGTTAGGCACTTGGCAAGTCACAATCAATAGCTAGTGGCTGCTGTGAGCTTGGGTGGTCATCCAAGTGGGAAAAGCTAGTTTAAGCTATTCATTAAAGTTAATTTATTAAACGGGCGTGCTGCCCAACTCTCAAGGATTACTTTAGATTAGAAGGCCAACAGGTACTCAGAGCCAAAGGTAGCCAGAAAAAACACCTGTCTATAACTCCTTAAAGCAGCCATTCCTTTTCTGGGATTGCATAGCTGCCCTCTGCAGCGCAAATATAATCCTGACTAGGCATAATACAGCAAACCCTTCCATGAAGGGTTTATGAGGCTTTCTTTTAGCTGGTGTGGCATTTCTTTTCTTTTTTTATTTATGATATACAAGAAAAAGGGTATGTGTGGGAGAAACAAACTACAAAGTACCAAACAAAGTACCAGAACAAAGCAAAATATATAGGCAATCTCTCTCTCTCTTCCCCCCTCCCTCCCTCCCTCTCTCTCTCTCTCATATATGTATAATTTTAAAAAATCACAAAGAACGTAATGGTTTGTATAAATATAAATGACGTATTTAAATGCCATCTTGAATCAGTAGAACAAATTTTCCTGGAAATAATGTTATGGAACATGGTCAGATAAAATAGAATTTATAGTACAGCTGTCTATCTAATGACCTAATGGTTGAGATATTAAAAAACAGTTAAATGTTTTGCCAAAAGAATATGTCTGGTGAATGGTTGGAAAACAAATCTTGGGTTAAATTCAAAAATTATCACGTGTCCACCAAATTTAATTCCACTAGGTAGGCTTGAAGCACATTCCATCTATATGATCAAAATGTATTTAAAATACTACTACAGTCAAAGGATTCAAAATCTGATTAAAATCGTTAGCCATAATTATAAGATCTATCTTTAAGGTTAATATGAGCAAAGTATTTACCATATGTATTTGTGGATAAGCCCATCCAGGATAAGCCAATTGTGACAATTTTAACTGGAATCTATTCTAGAAAACAACTTTTATTGATATCTACAACTATATACAGTACTTTAAAAAAGTATACAGGTAGTCCTTACTTAATGACCACAATATGGACTGGAAAATTGGTTCCTAAGCAGTGAGGTCATTAAGCAAGTCACCACATGATCAGACCTGATTTTATGACGATTTTATGATGCTCGTCAAGTGAATCACTGTGGTTATAAAATGAATCACATGGTTGTTAAGTGAACCACATGGTTGTTAAGTGAATCCAGCTTCCCCAATGGAAGTTTTCTGCCAGAAACTGGCAAAGCGCCTGAATTGTGATCACATGACAGTGGGGGTGGTGCGACGGTTTGCAACGGTCATAAGTGTGAGTACAACTTGTAAAGCACTTTTTTCTGAGGCCATTGTAACTTCAGAACTGTCATTAAGTGAGGACTACCTGTTCTGTATCTACTCGTGGATAAGCACATTTGCAAATATGCCAAACCCAATTTTGGGAGTGTATTTTGGAACCTAAAATTCTTGGCTTACCTGCAAGTATATACTGTATGTAAAATGTCTGCTGTGTGCTTAATTGGACCATAATAGTTAATAAAAGCTATCTCTAAACATCTAATCACTAAAATTTAAAAATATTTTATAGTATCAGACACTTCTTTTTTCCATGACTACATTAATCTTGACTGTACATAATCCTCTTATGCTGAACTCTGTATGTAGATTATGTATTGGCTTTCTTTAGGTTGTGCTGCATTTCCCCTGTCTTGGCTGCAAAGGTTCTTCCTGGCACTGAAGTCACTGTAGGACATGAAGAAGAACAAGGTGGGAAGTGGCCTCACGCTGACACTGCTGGGGCCATTAAAGCCATGGGAGGAAAACACTGCATTAGAGAAGTAACAATATCCTTTACATGTTCAGTTTGGTTACCTTGAGGCAGAATTGAGGAATCCCTTAATTCTGCCACAATTCCAATACCACATACATGTTTTGAAGAAAATCCATAGAAGTCAACTATATCAATGCCACTGAAGTGTTTCCTAACTGTAATTACAGAAGTGAAGAACTTTTAAGAACTCTTTTGGATTGTCCAGTAAGTTCCCAATAATGGTATGAGTTCTATTGCTAAAACGCTCCCTGGCTTTCTAAATTTCCAGAACCAGGAAACCATCATCCTCCAGCTTCAGAAGCTCTGCTATTATCAATACTTAACTAGCAACATGGTGGAAAAGAGAGGGGGAAATGTTTGCATTTCTTCTTCCCCTACTGGCTGCTTTTTAAAATCTGGAATATGGGAGAAAGCTTAGATCACTTCAAAGAGTGGTCTACATTTTCTCCTAGTTCAATAGCACAATGCCTGACTTTAGATTTTTTTTGCATCTACTGTCTCTCTCTTGCTTAAGCCATGCAACATTTTTTTTCTCCTTTTCTGTTCTGATGTTGGAGCTTCAGTGTTTGTGAAGTAAGGATTCTGGACATTTTTACATAGGTGAAGGAGAGGAACAATGTTGGATTCTCTCTTTTGAGACTAAAGCTCCCTCTTTAAACTTGAAAGAGAAAATACTATTAATCTTGTGATTCCCCCGCCCCCATACTCCCAAGAAGAATAGGCTTGCACATAAGTTAGTGATGCTGTGTATAATTAAGAAGAACAGTATGGGAAATTATTTAAATTTTCTCAAGGATTAATATTAGGAATGAAGAATTTGTTTTTAAATGGACATATCTTCTATTTATTATCTCTTTAAGAAATATTAAAGCAGATTTTAAATTTCCTCTCTTTCTCCACCTTCTCTACTCTGCTCCTGTCACAATGCTATCCTTGCGTGAAGAATGCAGATAATATTATAAATTGGAAAAGCAGAGTAATTAGCCTTATTTGGGCACAATCATTAAGCTCTAATTGTTTTCAGTCTCCCCTCCCTGTTTTTTCAGTGTTATTGCCACAAAGATGAGACTGAAGACTTCTGGTTTCATTCTAGACTAACATCCAGTTGTGGTTACGTTGTACATTCCCCATTTCCCTCTTTTTCTTTAGCCTGGCCACAAGGAGCATGAAAGTATAAGTGTACAATTTGAATTTGGCTTATTTCAGTGAACTATAGTACAGGTTATTGACAGCTATTTGAGTTTGGACATGACATTAACCTGCAGTTAGCTGAAAGTGAAGTGCAGTTTTCTTATGATCAGGCATGGGCCTCAACCATTCAGTCATTTAATGTTCAAATGTTTTATTTCTCAGAAATGTTTTGGAAGTGTTCTCTTGTTTTTCAGAGTTGATCTTTTCCCCTTGGTTATTTTGAAAGCATGGTAAAATAAACTTCCAAATAATAATATAGTCTGCTTAGCCCAAATTATGCCCTGAATTCTGGGGGGAAAATGCTAAGTTATAAGATATTCTTCAATATTTTGAAAAGTTGCATTTAACATAGATTTCAATCAACACAGCCTTCTTATTTGAATCTTCATTTCAGATGTAAAGTAACCCAGAAAGTGATGAGGAAATTTCACCTTGTGATTACTGTTCTTGCAAAAGTTGATGGCATTAATTTAACCCTAGAGAATGTTAGATGATATGCTGGAGCCCATCTCTAATTTGTGGGCGAGCTGTCAGGCTCTTAAGTGGAAACTGGAGTGATAGAAGGTTAAGAGCTTATTCTGCTTTAAATAGTTCTGAAATGCATGGCTGGTTTCTTAATAAATGTTTAAAACTTAGATGTTTAGCTGTGATTACATGGAGTTAAACAAATCCACCCCTCCAATAGGGGTACTATATATAGTCTGCAAAAATCCATACCACTAGACAGCAGCAACTTTTCTGTCTACTAATTGTTTTGCAGCTCAAATGTGGAAAAAGCATTCCTGAAGTTAAGCTTGATGTTTGGTGACCGCATGCAGTTCTCTTGGAGATACTGCAGGAATGGTTTGCCACTACTTTCTTTCAGAGTATTTTTCATCTTCTCAGTCCTCCCTACAGCTTTGGTATTCCTTGGTGATTTCCCATTCAAATATCAACAACCTTCAACCCTGCCTAGTTTCTGAACCAAGATAACTTGGTCAAATGTTGTCATCTAAGGAAGATATTTTTGTGAGAAGGAAGTGTGCTGTTGCTGATTTACAAAGTTATTTAATGTTGTTACTTTCCTTAAGTACCTCCTTCATGAAGCGCATGTGGACACTACCAACAAGATAGTTACCACACCAGCATTTATGTGTGCAGCTGAATTGCATCACATCTTTGATGGTATTGGAGCCATGGTAAAAAATGTGTTAAAGCTGACAGGCAAATGAATTGGATGGCTTACTAACAGCAGCAGTAGCTTTTAGGAATATTGAAGCTCTGATGACACAGTTGGCACAGAATGTACTTTTAGTGGTATTTTAGAGGATTGACTTAATATCTGAACTGGAACATCCTAGGCCTATTGAATCAGGCTCCTTTTCACGTCAAATGCTTCTCCAGTTGTCACTGACAATCGTTTTATATTCTGAACATGGCAATTTTAAACAAACTGTAATTAATGGCTTAAGTTTTTAAAGTATTACAAGCTTTAATAATGTTTCCAAAGCATGTTACGTGCCCATCAGTTCCAATATATTACTGTAGAAATTGTGATACAGCATGTTAAAGTCATGCAATTGGCTTTGAATCACCAGTATGATATAATCTCTAGAGAACAGAATCTAGGAATCTAGAACAGCGGAATAAAATTCCACTCATTTTGTAATGTATTTTGGAGTAGGCACTAGAATAATTTCCTGCCAAGATAATTAGAAGGATTCTTACTATTAGTATTGTGAATATCTGGTTGCTTAATATATCATAAGCACTGGCATATTACACATTCCTGAAGAATTAGACACCACATATCATCTGTGGTCACTTGAAGAAATGAGACTTTAGTTCAAATGACAGTTCTAATTATAGGGAATGTTTTACAAATACATTGTGTTCTTCTGGTGGAGTCCATGTGAATGTTATCAAGCATTCTGATCTACCAAGGGAATTGAGGAAGCAAACCAATGTGCAGTAGTTCAGATCAATTAAGAGAAAGTAACTCTTCTTAATTAGACATAACTCAAATAAAATGGATGGTTAAGATAAATTGTTTCCATTTTTATTAATATGCAGAATATTTCTTTGGTCTATTTGTGTCTGTTTAATTCAAAAGAACTCATGTGATACTTTTAGGTGAACACATTTGTCTGTGTGTGTGCTTTCAAGTCAGTCTTGACTCCTGGTGACTGCCTGGATAAGTCCATGCAGGTTTTTTGACAACATTTTCAGAAGTGGTTTGCCACTGCCTTCTTCCTAGGGCTGAGAGAGAACGACTGGCCCAAAGTCACCCAGCTGGCTCTGTGGCTAAGGCAGACTAGGACTCACAGTCTCCTGGTTTCCAGCCTAGTGTCTTTCGCACCTATACCAAACTGGCTCTAGCAAGCCATGAATGCATGGGTGTGGTACCTATAGCATTCCAGAGCTTCCTGTAGTCCCCCAGTCCCACCAGGTGATGACAGATGCTGAGATGATTGTAATAGCATCTAGCAAGCCATAGGTTTTCTGTCTCTTGCCTAGAATATTACAAGATTTTTTTCCTCCCTCTAAAAAACCTCACCTCCACAAGACAGAGAAATCAAAATTGGAGAATAATGCAGCAATGGCAAAACTGACTGTATGGATCAGTTTTAGAAGTCTAAATTTAAGCAGGAATGGCTCCTTTATATACTACACATCATACAGCAAAGCAAACTTAGATATTTGGAATATGATTTCTAGGAAAAGAGTTATGAGACTAATTAAAAATAATAGATGAAGCAACTTCAAAAGATACTAGCAATAATCCTCAATGTTCAAGGTAAAGAACAAATATTTAGGTTAGTAGTTGGGGAGCAAATGGAAGAAAACATCACTAAAAACCTTTCTATCATGTTTTATAGCATGTTTTATATCATGTTTTATAGTTTTATTTCTTACTTTATGCTTTGTATCTAACTTTCTAAAAATCTGTTAAAAGCTTAAATAAAATAACTTCCTATTTTAATATTTCAGTCAAGCAGTTGAAGCCAGTGTACATACTGCAATATTATTGTGTTTTTTATATATAAGGTATGTTCACAAAAACAAGAACTTCCTAAGTTAGTTGTATTCCAGCAAAACAAAACTCAAAACAGCTTGAGTGTTCTGTTAGAACAAAATTTGAACCATACTGAATGGGAATTTTTGCTGGGAAGCAATGGCAACGTGATATGAGCCCCTTGATACTTCATTTTTTATCCCAGAATCACAAAATGGATGGGGTGACATATCTGCGTCAACTATTTCTGGCCAGCCTTCATAGAGACTCCAGCTTAGCCACACAAATGTCTCTATCAAATGTGAACATCAGTGGTGGTTCTTCATAGATGTAGAATCACTCACATGAGCCACACAGGGTATACTCCATCTTGTGGGCAGGCATGTTACTAAAGTGTCCTCTGCAACAGTGACTCCACCACCTTTAACCAGCAGATCTTGATCTGGTTCTCCTTCTAACTGCCCTTCTGCATCTTCCAGTCTTACCTTGTTTGGGGAGTGGGGTTTAAATAGGGTTGTCCCTATCTGGGCTGCCAGTGGACACTTCATGCCAAGCCGCAACAGCCAGGACTGTGCTTCCAGTATGGGCTTCTCCTTCATAGGCCAAAACATGTCAACCTTATCTTGGGGGCAATATGCTTGGCACATTGAAGGGTATCTGTTGGCTTGGCCAGTTCTGATTATATGTAGCTTGGCATTATTCCCAGGCAGAGAATATTCTTATACAGTATATGCTTCCTACTCATGAATTGCATGGAGGACTTTTGGTAAACTGACTTAAGGCAATTTTCAGACTCCAAGGGTATTTTAACATTCTAAGTCTGCCTGTATTTAAGAAGAACTAAATTCATAAGCAGAAAAAAGTGGGGTTATTGAGGCTAAGTAAGTTAAATGCCATCAAGCAGAAGATTTTTATTAATACTTCAACTTTAAATTCTTACAGAATATGTCTTGTCTTCTCAGAATGCTGAGTACAATAGGCAACATTCATACTTCTATACACCATTATATGTGTGTGCACTTTAAAAACTTTTTCTGAAAAATGAGGCTGTTCAGGGAAAGTGGAAGGACCTAACAGATAAATAGTGAGGTCTCTCCCTTTTTAATGCAAAAAGCTCTAGATTCAAATCCAACTTAAATGACTAGGTGGTAAGTAAGATTTCTGAGATCTGATTACAGGGTTGATCCACACGGCCTGTTTGCTCCAGTATGATGGCAGCAACACACATCATCATTCTCTACCTTTTCCTCATCCACTACACAAAGAGCTCCCTCTTTTTTCCTACCGCACCTCAAAACTAGTGTTTTCTAACTTGTACTAGCTCAGTTAGCCTGCTGTGCTTCATTTCATTGTAGCAAACACCTCCATCCAGTTGGTTCCTATATGCTGTGGAGGAATGCCCCTCTCCAGTCACTGGTCGCTGCCCTCCATGGCCAATTTTTAAACAACTTTATCAGTGGAATGTGAAAGGTTGGGTTCTGTTGGTTTTGTTACAAGTTTATTGATGAACCAGTGAAATTGACAAGAGTATGTCTGATCCTGTTATTAAAAATTCTAGGGAGAAATTTCTCCTGTACTACCCACCGGGTGTGCCAAAAATGCATCTGCTTAATATTGATTATAACTGAAGACCCCTGCAATTGCTGCTGGTAAGAACTGTCAAAGACTTCCGCCACTAAGATGAAAGTTAATGCTTAATGAATCTAGGAAGATTACCTTTAAAATATACCCAATAATTCCATACTCTCTGGACAAGTAAATAGCTTACTGCACCAAAGTTTCTGCTTGAACAGCAACATATATTTGATGTGCAGCTTCAGGCTGTAAGTTATATCAGGGCCTTTTTAACTACAATTCCACATATCCAGTTCTGAAGTACACATTAACTAAAGCCGCATAATATAACTATTCTTATACATGTAGTCCTTGCTTAATGACTTGTTCAGTGACTATTCAAACTTAATGACAGTGCTGAACGAGTGGTACTTGAGACCGGTCCTTGTACTTACAATGGTTGCAGCGTCCCCAAGGTCACGTGTTCACTATTTGTGACCTTCACTGCCAGCTTCTGACAAGCAAAGTCAATGGGGAAACCAGCAAGAGGTCATGCTTAATGACGTGAATCCAGAAGTGCCAGAACTGCCATTGCTAAGTGATGTGGTCATGTGACATTGTGCTTTATGACTGCATTGCCTAGTTACAAAAATTCCAGTTCCAATTACTGTTGCTAAGGAAGGACTACCTGTAAAATAATCATAGAACCAGAGCAAAAAGCCAAAGGTATTATGGCTGATGAACTAACCTGGAAAGAATCCTGGATATACTTTTGCATTCTGAGAAAGCAGTGCACTCCTAAGCACCATTACTTAGAATTAAGTTCTAATAAGTTCAGTAGGGTTTAGTTAAGATAATTTTGGATTTACACACACACACACACATCACATAACAGATATAGAGACCACCTACAAGTACCATGATATCCAACAGTCACATGGGAACCACGATGAGGCAAGGAAGACAGCAACATCCAAGTACCACCAAAGGATAAGACAGGTCCTGAAGAGCCAGCTCAATGGAAAGAACAAGATCCATGCCATCAACATGTACCCCCTGGCAGTTATTGGATACCCTGCCAGTTAACGGAGCTGGCCAAAGAAGGGCATGGAGGCTGCCGATGTGAAAACCCAGAAGCTCCTCACAATGAATGGAGGTTTCCACTGCAAGTCTGACACCCAGAGACTCTACACCAGCCGGAAAGAGGGCAGGCAGGGTCTGGTGAGTGTCAAAGCCACTGTCCTGGATGAAACCCAGAGCATCCAGGAGTACATCAGTAAGATAGC